AAATGTAGAGAGAATCATAACCATACCCCTTCCACCCAGAGGCAGTGAAAAGAAAGCCCAGAATCCAAAGCTTCCATTCAATTTCTCAAAGTGCACAAAGCATTCACATCACCCAAACAAACAGCATAATATCTCAAAGCATCAGCCTTCTCCTCTGAAAATGAAGATAATATTGTCTACATTGTGTACTTAGTCACCATATTTATTCCCAGGATATTTGTAAAAATTTAGACCATATGAGATAGCATCCAGCAGCAACTTATATACTTTAAGACATTGTACAAATGGAAATCTTTAAGGAAACTAGCAGATAACAAATACTCATCTCTTCTAACTTATAATTTCATCATTGCCAACCAATCTCCTATTAATAAATTTTTCTTATGTGATACTAACCATAGAGGTCAACATCTCTTTTTACTGTCTTTTGTTCCTCCCAATTTCTTGGTGCCCTATGTGTCATTGGTAGTGTTTTATGTATCACAAAACTTGAAAGGTCATTAATTATCATTTAAAAAATGAGACTAGGTGGGAAATTATTTTATTTCAGATGAGTGTGCTCACTTAATATTCATTATTTTTTCCTAATCACTGTGAGCTGAAAACACTACCCAGATGTCACTGGATATCAATCACTAAAGCATGAATTTCATTTGAAGTTATGTTTTTAACCAGAATGTAATTTTTGTATATTTTTTTAAATTTAGCTGTGAACAAAATGGAACTAATAGAAAAAAAGATGAAAAGATTAGATAATTAAAAACAGTAAAGAAAAATGAACACTGCTTGTTTATTCAGATAATATCATTCCTTATTAGATATTTAGGGGACACACTCTCAAAAAGGCAAAACAGGCTGGCGCAGTGGCTCATGCCTGTAATCCCAGCACTTTGGGAGGCTGAGGCATGTGGATAACCTGAGGTCAGGAGTTTGAGACCAGCTCGGACAACATGGTAAAACCCAGTCTCTACTAAAAATATAAAAAGTAGCCAGTCCTAGTGGTGGGCATTTGTGGTCTTAGTTACTCTGGGGTGCTGAGGCAGGAGAATCTCTTGAACCCAGCAGGTGGAGGCTGCAGTGAGCCAAAATCATGCCACTACACTTTAGTCAAAAAAAAAAAAAAAAAAAGGCAAAACATCAATACCTTAAAATGAATCATATCTGAGAGAAAGGCAGATGCAGCCTTTTAAGGAAAGTCACTCTATATGGGAAGTCTAGTTGAACAAATCTTGTCCAACATCCTTCCCTGAAGTTTCATCCATCTAGTTGCAGGAAGCTCTTAGTTTTGTATTCATTTCTCACATGCAGGCAACCAGGATCTTTTTGTTTTTCTTCTACTTTCAGTTTTAAATTTGGATAAGAATTTTCCAAATTTTTGAAAGTTAAAAAAGTATATAAACTTTTAAAATTAAAAAACTCTAGTAAAATACATACTAAGAAAACTTTTAAAATTAAAAAACTCTAGTAAAATACATCTAAGAATATTTTGCTTACTCTAAAAATCCCTGAATTGTCATTGATACTCTTATGTACTCCCAGTTCTTGACTCCTATCTCTATATGAAAATATTCTTCTCTCACCCTCCCTTTGTGTCTTTGGGGGGAATCTCTTATGCTCACATTTTTGTCCACCTACTCTTACAAGTAAAGGGATTAAATAGAAAACACCATCCAGCTAGCACAGAGATGTTATTTATAAAAATATCATTAATGAAGAGAGTCATGTGCATTTTCATTTTATCCTCTCAACAATACTGCAATGAATATATATGGAATATTCATTATTATCCTCTGGCAAAGAGTTTAATAATCTCTGCCCACAAATTTCAATTAGTATCCAGAAAATAAGCAGAAAGAAGAAAAAAGTAAATATATATATATACATTTATATACAGTATTTCTACACACACACACACACACACACACACACACACATACACACACACAAATATATCATCCACTGGGGCAGCTCTTCTATCACTTAGTGACTTTGTCATAAAAGCCAACCTTTATAAATTCCTTTAAGTTTGTCTTTGCCACAAAAAGATTCTCCTGAACTTAATAGGTCCAAAATATGGTATTTGTTGAGTCATGCTTTTGCTTCTTTGAGAGTAATTTTTTTCATTAAATATTTCTTATTTGAATGAGTTAGTCAAAGATTGTTTGGTCTAAATATGTAATAAGATTTACTCATAATAATGTCCTGAGACTTCATACAAGTATGTCTTGATTGTTAAGTTTATGTGTACGGCAGTGTCATGGCACCAGAATGGCTGTTACTCAAGCTGAATTTCCATCATTCCATGCCTGTTGTTAAATGACAACAATCAAAATGGCATTTTAAACCTGCAACCTATTTTATTAATGTATTCATTAAAGTAATATGTTTTTGATTATTTCTCTAATCAAACAAGGGAGGCCGGAAGTAAAGGACCCTGGACAAATGCAATGAGACAATGAGTATATATGTGGAAGGACAGAAAGAACAGCCATTATATCTGTAAAGTCTCTGTCCAGAAAGTACAAAATCCTCTTAGTATTTTCAACATCTTGGCATTTGCAATGTAATCCTATTCTGACAATAAGACATGATAAAAATTCTAAAGGGGCTTCTGAAGAAACTCCTGTCTGCCACCCCTACCCCTGTATGAGAGATAGAGAGAAAGAGAGAGAGAGAGAGAGAGAGAGAGAGAGAGAGAGAGAGAGAGATGCAAAAGGATATCCCCAGCACTCCTTAGCTTTCTTCTTCACTTGGACATAATTTTCTGTAAATAGGTTATGAAATGCTGCTGCTAGGATGGAACCATGAATAGAGGTAGAGCCATCCAAGAGACCCTGGCATCACTGGGACCATGAACATGCCTGGAACAGTCTATCCGCAGCTATCTTGTGATGTGAGAAAAATATGCTATTTGTAACTAAGCCACTGTTATAGTCAGGAATCCTGTTATTGTCACCAAATATATCCCAACTCTTTTAAAGATAAACTGAGTAATATATAGCCCAGTCCTTTAAAATTATTTTGACCTATTTTGTTGTCAAATAAAAGTTAAAGAAATATCTTACTTTCTCTCTTTTCATCTGGTATATATAATATGCAATATATATATTATATATTTAACATATACACATTTTTGTTTTGCAAATTAGAAAACAAACACATTGGATTAGAAGCTGGAGATGATAAGGGGGAGAAGGAATATTATGAAGATGATATTCATAAGAGAAAATTCAAGCAGGCACAAAATGGGCAGGGACTTGATAGAGTACAGATATTTAGAAAAAGACTCTAAAGAGATTAATTTCAGAAACTAAGCACAGAACAGCACATACTTATCTTCCTAGAATGGGAACCACCAAGCCTACCCCTATTTACTGGACTTCCCATCATCATCTCATCTTTCATAAACATAGCAAACAGTCAAGAATCGAGATGCATCAGATAAAAGGTTACATATAAAAGGCAGAGCCTAAGTAAACACAAAAGAAAGAAACCCAAAGGGGCAAACAGTTTATGAGAAAAAAGGTCAAAAAATTGCCAAATTGTACCTATAAAAAGTAGCCAAGAGGGTACAGAGAAGATCATTAAGAAACAAATTTAAAGAGACTATGAGATTTCAAAATATAATAGAAGAAACAAAACTTTCGAGAATTTTTGGAAGGTAAAATTGAAGAAATCTAGAAAGCCGAGTGTAGATGCACAAAAAGAGATAAATATTAGACTTAAAAACCCAAAAGCAAAAACTACCAAGTATACTATTGCAAGAGATCCAACTTTAGAGTGCAAGAAAATCATCAAAACAAAGATCAGCAAATGGAATTGAAAAATATACAAATGGCTAATAAGAGAATGCAAAGATGCTCCAAATCACTAATCATTAAAAAAAATGCAAATCAAAACCACAGTGAGGTAGCAGCTTACACTCATTTAAATGGCAGTTATTAAAAACAAAAAGACAAAACAAATAACCAAACAAAAAAACAGAAAATAATAGAGTGAAGAAATTGAAAACCTATGTACTCTTTTGAGGGAAGGTGTTGTCTTTCCAGGGTCCACAAGGGTGTGTAGTTTTATGGGCAAGAACTTCCCAGCACCATGCCCCCCTCCCATCTCTCTCCATCCAGGAGATTTAATGGTTTATGTTTGGATTTTGCAGGCACGGGAAGAAACTAAAGGTCAATCACACCAGTGGAAGTTCTAAAGAACTCTTTTCATTGGCCTGGGGTCTTGGAAAAGGTGAGGGTTCCTCCCAGGTTAGAATTCCCCTTCTTCCACACCCCTTCAGATTCCATGTTTGGGTCCCCTTCCACAAACACTCCCCTTGTGGAAACTGTCATTCTCTCCCTTGGATTTCCCTCCGGAGTCCCCTTCCAAGCTCTCTCGTGGAAGCCTGTCTTCCCCTCCTAAACTCCATCTCTCTCTCTCTCTCTCTCTCTCTCTCTCTCTCTCTCTCTCTCTCTCTCTCTATTCCCTTCCACTCTGTGGAAGCTGCTTTCCTCTCCTGGATTCCATCTGGCTGGATTCTCTCACTCAGTGTGAGTCAGCTGTTTCTTTCTCTCTCCTTCTCCTGTTTCTCCCTCTCTTTAAATAAATCACTTTCTACAAACACTTTTGAGTCTGGCATTTATGCACACTGCGCTGTGGTCCCCTCTGTCGTTCTTGAGAGGGCAGGAGACCAAGAATCTGAAGAAACATCCTCTCAGGGGAGCTGAGGGCACCCTGAACCCCTGTACCCCAATATTACATTTTAGAGAGCCAGCCAGGAGAGGGGTACACCAGAAAGAGGGGTACAGCCAGGAAAGGGGTACAGCCAGAGGAGAAAACTTCAAAATCATGAGTAAAACCGGCCCCATCTGTCCTGTGTCTTTAAGAACACCTGAGGCAGCCGCAGCCCGGCCGAGCTGCAGGGAACTGGAGCAGGTTGCTAAGCCTCTGCGGTTGGTCGGAATTAAAAGCACAGTTTTTTTACCTTCAAGCTCTCTCTCTGCTTTCCGTCTCCTTCTCTATCCTTCAGATAGTATCTGGGACCAAAACCTGAGGGAGCCTGTGGGACAGAGCAGGCGAGCACGGGCCCCGCCCCTTTCGCTCCTTGACCTCTGGGAACAGCCCAGCCCCAGGGGCGGAACCTCGTGCGCAGCCTCAGGCTGGAGAAAACAGCAGGGAGGGGTGAGCTACAACCGGCAGAGCCTGCGGGCACCTGGAGGGTGGCAGCCTGGCGCACAGCTCCGGCAGGCCTCCCCAGCATTCCACAGTCCCAGGCAGCAAGGTTAAAAAGGCTCCCCAGGCATTTGGCTGCCAGCCACAGGTCCCCGTGTGGGCAGTAGCTCCCGAAGTGGCCCAGGTATGCAAGTGGTTCTGGCGGGGTCAACATGGCGACCTAAAGCTGTGGGGGCGAGGGAACTCATGGCAGCCCAGGAGCGGCTGCAAACACGGCTTTTAAACTGATGGCAAGCGGCTTTTTTCCTCTGCCTGTGCGGCTCTGAGGGAAAGGAAGCAGCAGAAGCGGGTGCTGGCCGTCAGCCCGGCCCGGCTCTTAGGCGCTACAGCATCTCAGGGTGCAGCATTCTCATTTAAAACATGGTTTAAGAAAACTTTCTGCCTTCCCTTACCACAAGTGGTCCGTTTGCACAGTTGGTTAAGGTGTAGGGCCTGCAACTGTAAGGTTGCTGGTTCAAAACCCTGGTGGAGACAGTTGCTGAATTAGTAAAGTCTTTTGGGGAACTTGAGAAGGTGAAGACTCTGGGACTTTGTCTTTGGTGAGTAATTTGTCTTGCTTAGGATTGGCTCTCTCTACAGCAGAACTTTTCCATCTAAAAGATTATAGTTGAACTGGTTCCAGGCCCCAAATAGTCAATGGCAGGTCTCACAACCTTAAGAGCATTTTCCTACAATGGAATACAGGTTAGGGGAGAGGAGTCCCCGGTCCTGAGGGTATTGTTCCGGCCTCAGCCACGCCTGGCCTGCCTTCCTTAGACTGTGTGCTCTAACTGCCCTCCCCCCCCAGAAGTTTACCCTTTTGGGGTAGTTTTATAATCTGACGTGTGTAAATTGGACTTTTGCTGGCAAATATTGGTACCTATTTCCTGAGACTCACTGGCCTCGTTGGGGCTCGTTTGTACGTTACTACCCAAGCCAATAGCTCCTCTCATTCCATGCCTATATGGTAGTCACTGGAGGTCATGCCAGCAGTGAGTGGTCCTATGACGCTGGTCGGTCGTGATTGGAATCCAGTACATGGGAGACCCTCTGATAAGATGGATCATGCATCTTGGACACACAAATTTCGGGGTACTGACTGAAAGACATTTCATTTCAGTACCCATTTTACCTGTGGGGTGCCTCAGGTCGAAGCGGCTATAATTTCTTTAACCAGGGGTGCAGGCATCCCTTGTGTTCAATTTCAGATGGGTGCTTCTGTTCCCAAGCTCAAGTCTCCATTAAAATATATACTGGAAAATTGGGACCAATTTAGCACAGTCTTTAAAGAAGAAGCGGCTTATTTTTCTCTGCCAGATTACCCTCTGCTGAATGGAAAACCTAACCCCCAAAAGGAAGGAAAAAAAAACCCAACAGTTTTCCTTGCGTGATTGCGGGAGGCTTAAGGAAGTTCACTTCCCACCCCCCGCCCCATCACCAGACTCCATAGAGGGTCAGTTAATACTAAAGGACAAGTTTATTACTTATTCAGCAGCAGATATCAGGAGGAAGCTCCAGAAGCTGGCTTTGGGAGCAGAGCAGAGCCTAGAATCATTACTGAACCAGGCAACCTCGGTGTTTTATACTAGAGACCAGGAGGAACAGGCTGAAAGAAATACAAGAGCTCAACCTTAGTCATGGCTTTCAGTCAAGCAGACCCTAGGGGTTCAAATGAGGGAAAGCCTTGGTTTAGCCGCCAGTCTGGCAGAACTTGTTACCAGTGTGGTCTGAAGGGACATTTTATAAGAATTTGTCCCCAGAGGAATGGACCATCATCTCATCCATGCCCACTGTGCCAAGGGAATCACTGGAAAGCACACTGCCCCAGGGGATGAAGGTTCTCAGGGCCTGAGGTGTCTGACCAGATGACCCAATGGCAGGACTGAGGGTTCCTGGAGCAAGTACCAGTACGAGCCGTCACCCTCACAGAGCCCCGGGTAAAGCTGACCATAGAAGTCCAGGAAGTTAATCTTCTGCACACTGTATGGCCTTCTCAGTATTTCTCTTCTGCCCTGGAGACTTGGTGCTTATTAATTCTCTCGCCTCAGACTGTCCCTCTCTATGCCCAACCTGGGAAGAACTACTTTCAATTATTCTGTCTACCCCAACTGCAGTTAAGGTAGTGGAAATTAACTCATGAATTCATCACAAAAGCCTTGGATACCTCCTAAGGAAAATCATAAACCCTCCACTCCACAGCCTGAAGTTCCAAAAGACAACCCTTCATTATCCCTGTGAGCCATTAGATGATCTACATATGCTTTTCCAACAAGATCCTCAGGGAAGTAACCACTCATGTCTAGTTTATATCCTGGAGTTAATAGGACTATAACCCTCAACTCTGCTATCTCTCGAGCTACAAGTATCCTTTTCATAGTGGGAAGGGAACCTGCCTCTTTCTAGGTAAACTGCTGCTATTTTGTAAACCAAACCATAAGGTCACAAATAATCCTGCCACTGGAACCCCAGATGTCTTTGGCTCATGGGCTCCATCATGGACCTCTAGATCAACTTGTACCCCTGAAAAGCTCCCCTCGACCTTTAGATCAACTTGTACCCCTGAAAAGCTCCCCTCTGGAGGACACCTCAACTGCAGGGCCCCTTCTATGCCCATTTCAGCAGGAAGTAGTTAAAGAGGATCGACACCCGTGTTCCAACAGAAGTCGGGCTTTCCTGTTCAGAGGCAGGGAATGAGGGATGGTGTTCTCTTTCCAGGGCCCACAACAGGCTGTAGTTTTAAGAGCAAGAATTTCCCAGCACCATGTCCCCCTCCCATCTCTCTCCATCCAGGAGATTTAATGGTTTATGTTTAAATTTTGCAGGCACGGGAAGAAACTAAGAGTCAGTCACTCCAGCGGAAGTTCTAAGGAACTCCTTTCATTGGCCAGGGGTCTTGGAGAAGGTGAGGGTTCCTCCCAGGTTAGAATTCCCCTTCTTCCACACCCCTTCAGACTCCATGTTTGGGTCCCCCTCCACAAACACTCCCTTTGTGGCAGCCATCTTTCTCTCCCTTGGATTTCCCCTCTGGAGTTCCCTTCTACACTCTCATGGAAGCCTGTCTTCCCCTCCTAAACTCCATCTCTCTCTCTCTATTCCCTTCCACTCAGTGTGGAAGCTGCTTTCCTCTCCTGGATTCCATCTTTCTGGATTATCTCACTCAGTGTGAGTTAGCTGTTTCTTTCTCCTTCTCCTGTTTCTCTCTCTCTTTAAATAAATCACTTTCTACAAACACTTGAGTCCAGCATTTACTGCACACTGTGCAGTGGTCCCCTCTCTTGTTCTTGAGAGGGCAGGAGACCAAGATCCTGGAAAAATGTCCTCTCAGGGGAGCTGAGGGCACCCTGAACCCCTGTACCCCAATACTACACTTCATAGAAAACTAAAATGGTTCAGCTGCTACAACAAATAGTATGGTGGTTCCTCAAAAATTAAAAATAGAATTGTCATTTGATCCAGTAATTTCACTTCTGAATATACATCCAAAAGAATTGAAAGCATCATCTCAATGAGTTATTTGTACATCCATCTTCGTAGTAGCATTATTCACAATAGCCAGAAGGTGGAAGCAACCCAAATGTTGACCAACAGATGAATGGATAACAAATGTGTTGTATATACACCGATGAATACTGTTCTCTCTTAAAAGTAATTCTGACACGTGCTATAACATGGATGAACCCTGAGGACCTTATGCTAAGTGAAATAAGCCAGTTACAAAAAGACAACTACTACATAAATCCACCTATATGCAGTACATTCATAGTGACAGAAAATAAAATGGTTGTTGCCAGGGGCTGTGGGGGAAGGCTTGGAGAGTTGTTTACTTAATACAGAGTTTCAGTTTTGTAAGATAAAAAAATTCTGGAATTGAGTGCATGACAATATGAAATATACTCAGCACTACTGAACTGTATATTTAAATATGATAAAATTGTAAATTTTATGTTATATGTATTTTATCATTTAATTTCTTTTAAAGAAAAAGTCGTCAAAAAATTAATTCAAGTAACATCTAAGACTTGAAGGTCATGAATTTTCTGACTGAAAGAGATCAATGAACGCTCAGACCAATGGATGGATATCAACATAAGTCAAGATAGTCATCGTGAAATTTTAAAGCACTTGGTTCAAAGAAAATAAAATTCTTGGCTTTCAGAGATTGAGGAAGTCACACATAAAGATAAGAAATATTAATGATTCTGATGTTCATATGCAACACCGAAAGCTAGAAATTGAACAAACCTTCAAATATCCAAGGGAAAAGTTGTTCTTGCAGACAAAGACTCTAATAATTAACTTGTTGTGCATTCTTTTGCAGAAAGCTGTTAGGGGATGTGCTCAACCAAAAAGAGGAAATAAATCAAGGAAGAAAATAAAGTCATCAAATAGAGGAAATAGAACATTTTTAAATAAGCACAGAATTGAAGAGTCTCATGGATTACCAAGAAGGCCAAAGCAAAAAGGGTGACCCTTGAGATGGGCCTGGGAAGGTCTCAATGCAGTCAGTCAAAGATTGGGATGGATTTTTTTTCAAAGTGAAACCAATAGCAACCCCAGTGTGGTAGAGAGTATTAAGAAAAGATCTAGATAACTGAAGGGGAGTTTGGCATAAGCATGCAAAAATCAATCAAGAAAATAATAATAAAACTGTGCATAGGGATAGACAGGTGTTGTGCATATTCCATGTCTCAGTGGTGAGTGATAGTTACGTCTTCATAATGAAAACAATGAATGTTTTCTAACCTAAAATTTTAAGATTATTATACTGAAAGGCGTGGAAGAGGAAAGTGCATATGTTATAACTGGGAAGGTTTCAACTTCCTTACTGGAAACCGGACAGATTTAATTGAATTGAAAAGAAAAAGGAAGAGAGACAGAGAGAGAAATAGTGAGACGCAGAGAGAGAGATACATAGAGAAAGGTCCCATAGGTACATATTTTGCAAATACAGGAGAATACACCAAAAGAATCATAAAAGAAGGTGCTGCCTGTAAGGAATGAGATGTGGAGAAAGAGAAGCAGTGCCAACTCTGTTCTGAACAAGCCTTGAGGTATCATTAACCACATTAAATTATTTGTACAAATACTTTTAATACAAATAAAATTATATAAAATATTATAATATTTAAAAAGTTTAAGAAAAAAACAGGTACTAAGTCTCATGGCACCGGATAAGATAATTGCTTTTCAGTGAAAGGAAAAAAAATTTTTTAACACAAAAATAGGAAAGCAAAATGTGGAGAAAACTTCAGATGAAATTTTTAGAACACATTTTTTTAGCGGATACACGCTTATATTCATTCCATCATGGAGCCACATTTCTTATCTCTTGAATTTTGCATAACCATCCAGAGCTGAAAAGTAATTGAGGTATTAATGGAGCTTCAGTCCTATAACTTGTGCGGCATGAACAAGCCAATGTGTGAACCAACGAAAGATGTTCCCTGGACACTCAGCTTCAGAAAATTAGTGAAAAAGAGCCTGCATGAGAATTCTAGAAAGTACAGTGCAATGGAGAAACTATTATGTATTTTGTTTCAGTAAAATGGTCATTTTCATCCAGAAATATTTCTCTTTCTTTCTCTTTCTGCTTTCATTCCTCTCCTTCTTCCTTTCCCACTCTGCCTCTGTCTCTTTTTTTCTCTCTGCTCCCTCCACCCAATATATAAAAAGTATTTGAGTCTCTGGTATGCTTAAGTTGGCAAATTGTTGAGCTCAGCAAAACTGTGTTAAGAAGTGTTGAAATATTTATCCCCAAATTGGTTCAGCTTGTAAGCAATAAGAGCAGATGAATGGTTCCTGGAATGTGTAGTACATCATTACAGGGCTTACCCATGCATCATTTATTGCTGGTAGATTCTTTATAATGTACTCTCATGAAGTCAGAAAGAGGTATTGAAGGAGAGGTCCACCAAATAGTACTTCCAGATGGATAGAATGTCCCTGCCAGGGGATACACAAAGGCCTAAGGACAGAGGACTCTGTCATTTTTATTTCTACTTCTGCACTTTTATAAATATATTAAAAGTCCAAACAAGCCTTTTTATTAGCTCTTCCCACACCCATTATTTCATCAGTAATGTTCAGTGTATTCTACTTATTCTGGTAAAGTATTGTCTCTTTAATTTCTAGTTACTTTGGAATAGGAGTCATGTGGGATAAGAATCTAATTGGTTTGGAAATTCAAAAATGTAATCTTTTGCCTGATGTTGAATTTAAATGTGGTATTCCAAGTAAAACATCATGGCCCCCAATGCAAAAAAATAAAATTGATGCTGTCGACATGTTACAAATGTTTGAGATTTCCCACATGTGGGGAAGGGAGATGGATTGGAATTTCTGGGAGGAAAGGTGAACTATAAAAGATTAATAACATAAGGCAACCAGCATCTCTACGATTCTGTCTTTCATTAACATTTATTAACATTAATATAATTAGTAATGGAATGTGTAATGGAAAGAGCATGACATCAGCAAAGATAAGACCAAATATGCATCTTTGATTTTTCTCTTACTATCATTAAGATCTTGAGAAAATATTATTTTTGTGAATTTTTGTTACCTAATCTTTAAAATAATAATAATAATGCTTACTTGTAAATCTGTGCAGGAATTATACTCAATAGAAAAGTAGAAATGCTGATGTGGTTTGGTTATGCTGCCACTCAAATCATCTTGAATTGTAATCTCCACAATCCCCAGTGTCTAGGGAGGTGATAGGATCATGGCAGCAGTTTTCCCAGGCTGTTCTCATGAATGTGAGTTCTCACAAGATCTGATGGTTTCCTAAGGGGCTCTTCCCCCTTCACTACTCACTCTTTTCTCTCCTGCTGCCATGTGAAGAAGGTCCTTGCTTCGCCTTTGCCTTCTGACATGATTGTTAGTTTCCTGATGCATCCCTAGCCATGGTGAACTGCGAGTCAGTTACACTTCTTTCCTTTATAAATTACCCTGTCTTGGGCAGTTCTTTTTTTTTTTGAGACGGAGTTTCGCTCTTGTTACCCAGGCTGGAGTGCAATGGCGCGATCTCGACTCACGGCAACCTCCGCCTCCTGGGTTCAGGCAATTCTCCTGCCTCAGCCTCCTGAGTAGCTGGGATTACAGGCATGCACCACCATGCCCAGCTAATTTTTTTTGTATTTTTAGTAGAGACGGGGTTTCACCATGTTGACCAGGATGGTCTCAATCTCTTGACCTCGTGATCCACCCTCCTCGGCCTCCCAAAGTGCTGGGATGACAGGCATTAGCCACCACGCCCGGCCGGGCAGTTCTTTATAGCAGTGTGAAGACAGACTAATATAGATGCAATATCCACATTTAGAAACTACAACATAATCTATAAATATTAGTTACTACTACTGTATTTTCTTCCAAAGGGGAAATGAAGAAGGTAAGTTTAAAGCATTGTCTATGACTGGCAGTAGCAACACAAAGTAAGTTGATGGAACCTTTAAAGGAAAAGAGACGTGCCACCGGTTTCAAATCCAAGGGCAGAAGCTAAAAGGTTACTAAAGATCCACATTGAAAAATTCACGAATCTATCATCCTTAGATTCCTTCTGTTTTTCAAAGGGATAAATGAGTCTCTTTCTAAAATATGATAGATATCTAGAAACCAAAGGAAGAGTCACCAACTAAAAGGAGAGTGATATAGAAAACAAAATATGTTATTTGAATTTAGGAGACTCTCTCAAGATTTTCACAGTAATTAAAAGTCAGGTACGGTTTGTGGGACTCATATATTAAGATGGCAATTGCTAAGAAAATGAGAGCTAAGTCTCAACCAATGGCTAGGACTACATTTCAGAAGTCCATTCCTGTGGAATGGAAATTAGGTCAAGATTTCTAGAATTGGTGGTCAGGTATTATCTGTGGAAGAAGTTTAGGCAGAAGAACTGCAATA